CAGGGTGTCGTGCTGAACCTTGGAATAAAACAGTCGCTTGGCCTGACGACCAGGAGCGGCGGGGCACAGCCTACGTGCCTCAGGGGAGAGGCACAGCACGGTGTGGACGGACGAGGGTATGGGTGGTGGGGCTGGGAAGGGACCGTGTCAGACAAAACCAGACGGGCGATGGAGAGGCTTCTTGGCAGCCAGCTCTCTGACAGGAGTTCGAGTTGGGGGAGCCCAGACCTGGTTCTGAGGGAACCCAAGGGGTGGGGCAGTTGGCCAGGGAGAGGGAGGGAACCCCCAGGAAAGGCCACTGTGACCACGCCATCCCGCCGCCCACGGTCTCTCCCTGGTGTCCAAAGTCCACGTGGAGAGAGGTGCAATTCCAGAAGCGTCCTGGTGGTGCTGACGCCTGCAGACACCCCAAATCAAAGCCATCAGCGTGGCCTCGGAGACTCTTTCCAGCCTGATTCCACCCCAGGCGCAGGCTCTCCCTCACCACGCCTGTGCGCCGCCTGGCGGAGCACCCCACCACAGGCCCGTTCCTAAGCCTGCGCAGCCTGGGGTCTCAGGTCCTCACCTCACACCACACCCCGAGTCCACGCCCGGACACGAGGACAGCAGGACAGCAGGACAGCACACGCAGCCCGCACACCTCTCAGAGCCCCTGAGGCAGCAGCTTGATGTTTTTCTCTCTCTCTCTACCTTCCTCCCTCCTTCCCTTTCACTTCCCCTCTCCCAAACCAAGAAACATATCCTCTGGTAAGGGTAACAACAACGATAAAGCAAGCTAGACGAAAAGAACTGATACGTGTGACCTCTGTTTTGGCTCAACAGTTATTGCTTTTGTAAATATTTTTTAATGCAGAGAATATCCTAAAAATATCCTGAAGCTGACCCTCATGGAAGAAAAAAGAAAGACTGGCAACTGACAGAGTAAGGAAAGAAGTGTCGGTAAAGACCGACGCACAGGAGCCGGAAGCCAGGGCACCGGAAGTGATGCCAAGCTTTGTAAACAACACCCCAGGAGATGACAGGAAATAGGAACAATGTACCTCAGTGCCTCCGTAAGAGTCAGCTTCCCATTTCAGGGGTAAAGTAGAAAACAGTATTCACCTCACAGCCATTCGCACAGAATAAATACCAAGGAAAACTATTGATCCTTCAATAAAAAAATACACACAGTAATAACAAGTTAGCCAAAGGCAAATCATTTAACATGGACAGGAAAGTGACAGTAACAGGAGTTAATGTCATGCTATGAATACAATCTCTTCTGAACCCAGAGTTTTTACACTACATATTATTCTCCCACTTAAACGTAGTTTCCAGTCAAGCCAAAGCCTCACTGGCAAACCTTCAGTAACACCTGCGCGTGTGCCGTGTATATGCTCTTGGATTTTCATGTTTTAAGAAAAAAGGTGAGGCCTCCATCTAAACTGAAAAAGAGGAAGCCACAGGGATACTTCCACATAATGTCACATACAAATACAGAAGCTTCGAAAAAAGGGAGAAAGAAAAGGAGACCAGACTGATGCCAACAGTCCCCACACCGTCACGCCCCAGAGCAATGGCACGTGATGCTCCGAGCCCGGACAGAGCCGCAGCACAGAGCAGCCGAGGTTCAGTGTGCAGGGGTGGCGCGGGAAAGGCTGTGCTTCTCAGTGCGACTCAAGGCCCTGATGAAGAGAGCCTGCCGCCCGCAGACCAGATGCCTGATACATGGGAGAAGCCAGCGCAGGCGGCAGGGCCGGCACCCAGTGGGGGCCTGGGGGACAGACGCCCCCAGGGGCCTGAACACACCCAGAGCCACGATGACAGGAGACACAGTCTTCACAGACGCTGCAGGAACTGCTTCACGGAGGAAGCGCCGAGGTTTCCATCTGCATGTTCATTAACAGCTGGGAAAAACAACCCTCTCCTGGTGCAAGAGGCCTGGCCCTAGCACTCGGGGACGGGGGTGCCAATCAGCCTCACGCCTGCGGCGCACGGCCAGGCAGCTCTGTCCTGAAGAGGCAGGTCTGGGATGCTGAGGGTCATTTCCCCTCCTCCTAGTCCTACAGCCACTCCAGGCCAGCTGATCCTGAGCACTGAGCCACGCCCACGCCCGCCAAGGCTCAGCCTGCACACTTCCTGTGGGCATTTCCCCTCAGGTGAGTGCTGGCGGCTCCTGTTCCATGTTACTGTTTCTGAGTTTAAGTCACGAGGACATCTTGATGACGAGATTACAGAGAGAATTATTTATTTAAAATAGGGAGTACTTTAGAGTGAACTTGCAAATGAAGTAGTTTATTATTTTAAAATGTGCACTGAACTTGGCTATATTTAGTTATTTACACTTAAGTGGACAAGATTTCAGAAATACGGCAATGCACTACCTTGAAATGAGTTCATGCAAATCAAGGACCACAAAAGTATGTTCTTACACAAGCCATCACTTCAGCTGTTCATGAAGTTAAAAAATATATTTGAAATTATTTAGTTTTCTGTCGCTGATCACAGTCATGCTCACAAAATTTATTGGTTCATCAAACGATAGTATAAGCATAAGAATTGATTTGTAATAAATTATCATTTTTGCATATATCAGTCAAAGCACAAAGCCTAAATACTTGCAAACAAAATGCATTATTAATTTAATTGTCACAGCCTATTTAGCTAACTTCTATTACTATTTGCTATAATATGCAATGCATAAAAGGCGAGAATCAAATTCAAAACATAAAAAATAAACGGATTATACTGTCCTGGAGAAATTAAAATATAGCAAGCTTGCAAAATTATAGCAAAGACATGAATGTTTTAAACTGGTAAGGAAAAAATGTCAAGCTTAATTTAGAGAACAGTCATGCCCAAAGTGACAGCCCCACATGCCAGTAAAGAGCCCCTCTGCCCCCTCAGATCACGGAGCGGCATCAGCCCCCTGGAAGGCCTGGAGGGAGGGGCTGGGAGAAAGGGGCTGTCGGTTTGCTCCTTAAACGCTGGACTCTTCCCGCCCTGGACGTCTACAGGGAGCTGCGGCTGCCACCGTGGATGCCCTGGCAGGAGAGGGAAGGTCCTGTAAACTGGGTCCGAAGGCAAGTGTCCTGAGGTGCAGGGCTTTTAGGGGGGAAATAATTCAAAGTTGTCTAGCTTAGACAATCATGGACTATTCAGAAGGTAATCACCAGAAGATGGGGTGTACTTTCCCATTTGACGGTCATTTCCTGATTTTAGGAGAAAATCAGGCCAATGACACCAAAAAGAACCGTATCTCAAAGAGGGGAAAGACACGCCGCCTTTCTCCTGTCTCTTCTGAGAGACCCATCATGCGTCAGCGGCTGACACAGGGAAAGCCAGCGAGAGTGCTCCTGTGCTCCTGGACGCACAGGAGAAGGCAGTGTCCACGCTCCAACCATCCTCTACACGTGGCCTCGACTGCTTTTAAGGTGCCCGGAGGATAAATACATGTACGAGATGATAAATGACACCTTTGAGCTCAAAAGGTGTACCAGTTATAGAGGAGGGAAATATGTTCTTTTCATTAATTATCTAATCTAGATGTTTTCATTCAAATTTACTTACGAATAAAACACTTTAAGTACCTATATGTAAAGATTCTCAATGTGAGATAATATAATTAGTAGAAGAAAGAACACTGGAATTAGAGTCAGAAAAATAACAATTCTAACATTAATTATGAGATGTTGAATAAAAAATTGTATATTCCTAAATCACAGTCCTTAAACTATAAAATCAGAATAAAAATACTCTGCTAATATGAGGTCACAGAATAATTAATTGAGATGATCCACGTGAAAGCAATGAGAACGTAGTCATTAAAAATGTTTTGTTTCCACTTTCTGAAACACATATGGAATGTAACTTTGAACTCTGAAAACATAACAGGTCACAAATTATAATTCAAATACTATGGAATTTTTTGAATTTCAAGAATAATGCATTTAGGACATGTTCAACACATATATACATTTTGGTTCAGACTGAATATAATGTGACAGAGAAAAGGATAAGAAACCAGAGGTAAAAAGCAGACATATGACATGACATCCCAGAATTTTGGCACAGCAGTCACGTCCATACCAAAATGCTAAAGAAAACAACATGCCTCCAATGGAAAAGTCGAATTAAATTCCATGGACACACAGAAAATACTTTAAGTGCTTTTCAAACTTTTTAAAAAGGCAATTAAACATTTAAAATGTAGCAGAAGAGGACCTATAGCACGGCAGAAGTTGTTGCAGGATTATTGGCATTTTAAAACAATATTAAAACAAACAAGTTTCCTGGGGTGCTTGGAATTTCCAAGAGGATCTTGCAGGATCTGAGGAAAGGCTGAGAATCCATCTTTGAAGGAAGGGAGAGAACCCACGCTAGGTCCGAGCGAACTGCACATTCTAAAGACTTCAAGCTTCAGAAGTAGCTCAGCTCACATGGTAGCAGACACGACTGTGGTTCGGATCCCCTAATGTGATCAACTCTATGTGAAGAAGCTAATTATGATAGCAGGAGCAAGAACAAAGGAAACCTGGCAGTTGATGACATAATAATAGTGGTGTTATTATTAATGACATGGCAATGCTAGCATTATTTGGGGGATGACAAAGATGTATTTCTTCATATCAGCAGTGTTTAGTTCTACAGTAAGAATTCAAAAATGTTCTTTTAGAACCTCAAAATTAAAGTACAGAGGCAAACAGACAAAGCTTAGCCTCACATGTTTATTTTATCTCAAGTGAATATGCTCACAGAGTCGGCCCCCCAACTGAACTCTCCTACTGTTCCAAGGTTGTCGTACAAATTCACAAACTCCAAGTCCTCAGACCCTTTCAAATCTTACTGCAACAGTGACTTTTTGTGGAAGAATAGCATAAACCATCATGTTCAACAACAGAGCACCATAAATGCAAACCGTGTGAACTGGCTGGCTTGATAAAAATTATAGACGTCATCTTATGAAACAAACCCTGAAATGAAAATAGATTGTTAAACTTTTAAAAATGAATGAAAATTACCTTTCTTTCGGGGTGCCAACTCCATGTTTGCCTAGTAGATGAGTATTTAAGTGCTTCTTCATTACAAAAGCAACCCTAAAAAAAAAAAACACACAGTAATTATAGAACTGAAACTTGACTCTCCGCTAGAATTACAAGAAGTATTCAAAACTAGGCATGTGTATATAGATGTACTATAAAAACGTGTGTTACAACAGCACACTCGCTAAACAAAAAGCTTGCCGGCAGGTTCAATACGCTGGCGATACTCAGAACCAGGGGAAACAACTGACTGTGCTGAAGCAGGCTGGCTCACTCTCTTCTCGGAGTGCGTGGACGCAAAACAATGACTTCAGTTCTTCAGTCATTGTCTTCACTGTCAGTCAGGAAGCCAAGAGAAAGCAATATCTCAATGTAATGACGTTCACTGCCCCCTGGTTGATCCCACACTTCAATCACAAGATGATTTCAGAAAATGTCATTTTATTAAATATTTAAGGGACTGTAAAAGACAAAATGAATAGCCTTCATGAAGTTCCTTAAAAACATGGTAATAATCGGAAGCTGGGCTTTTTAACAACGGTATAAATGTTTACTGTATCTGCAGCACTGGCAAAAACACTGGACTGAGGTGCCAGGAAGGTGTCGATAGACGAAAGGAAAAGTATCGCCTGACAAGCTGTCTTATTTTGTACACAAATCAGCTCACTGTCTTCACTTTTGTGACCGAGAGGCGACAGAGATGGGCATCTGTGGCCAGTCCCCGAGCGCCCACCATCCTTGTACTGACGCTGGGATGACACCGGTTTAACTCTGCCATGTGACTGCTTTCGACAGTTTATATCTCCTTCAGGGGCATCAGGCTCAAATGGCCCTCTTCATAAGCAAAAAATAAAATAAAATAAAAGTGTACTATTGTAACTTTCAATGTAAAAGGGCTTGCAAACATTTTTGTTAATTATTTATTACAGCTGTCCTTCATAAAGTTAATTACTAATAGCTGAAAGGCAACAGAGTCTATTTGCATATGTACATGAAAGGCATGACATATGCAAAAATATGATTTTAATTAGCATTCTGTGATATGAAGGACTACAAATCAAATTGGCACATTATAAAATTCTTAACGTTAAACACTGAATGCATCGGGATGTGTTTGCACAACGGCTACGTAAGGCTGGAATGCGCGGGGGCCTCCTGGAAGAGACATGTCAAAAGCTAACACGGGAGCAATTTCTAAAGTGCCTGCTGCTGCTTTTCTCTCTGGTATCGTCACTTTTGGTTATTTTCATACAACATCATGGAACCTCAGTTGTGTGGCTAAAATAATATATTTGTATGTTTTAAATGTCTATGACTTTGTTATTCAAATAATCCATTTCTATATACTGAAAATAACTTTTTTCATAACATGTAATAACTATGAATAATCCACGCTTTACAACTATAAATAACTGATCACACCATCAATCATTAAAATGAAAAAATAATTATTACATATGACAAATCAAACTGTGATAGTATTAAAGGCTTAGCAAAAATAAGAGTACAAAATACTCTATATTTGTTTCTGCTTGATTTGGACAAAATAACTAACATTTTTCATTTCCCTAAAAAAGAATAAAGTAATAACAACAGTCCATTTAAGTCATAACTTTCCTGCTGTCCTCTATTTTCTATAATTAAAAAAACATAAAGCTAATAGCAAAGAGCAAAGGCTAAGAACCCAAACTTGCAAAGCACAGCTTATTTACATGACCAAATATAACTTAAGAGACCTGAGCTTAGAAACCGCAGTGCAGTTTTTAAAAGAAAAAAAATTATTCATTGAAATGTTTAAGTTTTAAGAACTGAAACAAAAATAAGCCACTACACAGGGTAACAAACAAAAGTGCACACGGAGGAAAGCTGCTACCAATGAACCACGCTTGCCTTACCCGCTGAAAATCGGCAACGCAATACTAAGTATCTAGAGGGATAACAATTTTTATTATTATGGAAAAAATCTATAATACGAAAACATACTCAAGTTATAGTCAAATACAAACTATATATTCATCCAAAATCTGATTTCAAATAAGTCTGAACTGTTGAACTGTGGTCTAACCAAAGCATGAGTGATGTCAGTCTCCACACCATCTCAGCTAAAGACAGTCCGCCAGGCGCGACGGAGCGAGGCAAACCCGCCCGCCCGCGCGCTCGCAGCGCTGCGCGCGCCTCGTGACGCGCGACGCCGGAAGGGACCCTGTGCCCCGCTGCCGTCCTCGGAGAGCGGGTTTAAAGACTCTACCACGCTCACGGGTTTTCGAAAACCTGTAGGCTAGTTACCAGGAGACGGAAGACGAAATTCATCCCAAATCTGGAAACCCTGCGAGAAAGACCTCGCTCGCTCCTCAGGGAGGCTCCTGCCCGCCCACGGCCGCCCCTCCGCGCCCACGCGGGCCACGGAGAGTCAGGCCTGTGGAGCTGCCCCCGGTCTGCAGCTTCTCCGCAGGCCCCGCCGCACGCGTGCGCACGTCAGCCCGCGTCGGCGGCAGGGCCTGCGCCGCCTCGACGGCAGCGGCGGGGCTCGGCGACGAAGCTACACGGGCGCCTGCCTCGGCGCGCACAAAGCCCGCTGAGGGAGACAGACAAGGACACCAAGGGAAACCGGGAGCGTCTTAAACAGGGAGAGGCGGTGGAAGAAGAAACAGAGAAGGTCGGCGCGGCCCGCATGCCACACGTGGGCGGCTCAGGAGCGCGACTCCGGAGAGACCTGGGAGGCTGGGCGAGGCCAGGAGCGGGGAGCCGCACCCCGCGGCGGGGCGTTCCCAAGGCGGGAAACGCGGGGCTGGGCGGCCGAGGGCCCCGACAGCCCGGCTTGTGCCCCGAGGGAGGCGGCGGCACGGCAGGCCTCAGAGCAGAGGAGACCCGTGGGTCTCACGCTTCAGCGGACGCCTCCTCCGTCGGGGGGACGCGGAAGGGGCGCCGAGGGGAGGAGGCGAAGAGGGGCGCGCTACCCACCTCTCGCAGCGATCGCGGCGAGGGGGGCCAGGCCGGGCCGGCCGGAGGCCCGGCACGCGCCAGCGGTGCAGCCATGGCGAGAGCCGGCTCCAGGTCCGCGCGGGTCGGGCGGGGGGCCGGGAAGCCGTCCCCGCCTCCGGCCGGACACGCCGCGCTGCTCCGAGGGAGAGCCAGCCCGGGGCCTGCTGGGGCGCGGGGGTCCCCGACACCCCGCGCGGTGCCGGCAGGAGGGGCGGCCGGCCTTGAGTGTGAGGGCAGAGCCCGGGCTGCAAGTGCGCTCTGAGGCCGTGCATCTGGCAAGGGCCTGGGAATCTGGAGGAACACCTTGAAATAATAAAAAACAGTGTTTCTTAAATATGATTGATTTCCAAGTATCTATAATTGCCTGAAATAGCATCACTTAAAATTGCTCTTGGTGTCAAAGAGCAGCACCGTAATAACATTTACATCTCAGCTATAGACTTCCACGCTTCAGTACAAAGCTTTCGTAGTTTACGTCCTCGTTGTAAAGCGAGTTTTCCTGCCCCCGCGTCTCTGCAGTAGAAAACCTCTCCCTTCAGTCCCTTCGGGTTTTCGCTGTGGGTCACTCAAGCTGAGGGTCCTGAGATCGGCCGCCTGCCCCGTGAGGTGAATGGAGCTCAGCGCCCGGGGACAGAGAACGAGCGGGGAAAGCCAGGGCCGCCCGGAGCCCCGGCGCCCGGCGGGCCCAGCTCAGCCCCATGCGGGCCGCCGGTGGCGCAGGGACGAGAGCGGGGCTTGGCGGCCGCGGGCCTCCTGAACCCGGGGAGCGGGAGGGGCGGCGGCAGGCGGCGCCCCGAACGCCACGCGGCATTTATGCGGTTCCCTCGTGTCTCTAAGAAGGCCAGGTGTCCCTCGGACAGGCCTGTGGGATCTAATACGCAGCCACCCGCAGGTCAGCGGAGGCCAGGCGACAGGAAGGGTAAGTGTATTTGCTTAAATCTAAAGACAGTAACACAGAAGTTAAAAGAAAATGTCTAAAAACGCGTTAATAAGCGACTGATGAAAACATTCACTTCTGAGTAGCTGACACAACATGGCCGGCCACCCAAGTCCCCAGGGACTCGTCAGAACCCAGGGCGAGCGCCACAGTCAGCCCCTGGCAGGCCCCAGCCGCTGCTGAAGCAGCAGGAAAAGAACCGACCGCCGGCCCCTGCGAAGAGGAGCAGCAGCAGCAGCAGCAGCGAGGCTGGCCAGCCAGGCGCCGGCCCAGAGCGAGAGCGCGGGGCAGGGCTCCGCCTTGCCTGACTCGGGAAGCTGAGGGCCGTCTCCCAGTCGCAGTTTTCTCAACCGAAATGTGAGGAGAGGTGCTCTCGCTGGGCGTTCTGTGAGGACTTAGTAAAACAAGGCAAACACAACAGTGTGCGCGGCACAGTGAGGAGGCCAGACCAAACCACAGCTAATACCAGCGCTGCCGTTTCTGCAGCCGTGTCATGATGTGGTAGCATCTAGCAAAACACAGCGTTAAGGACCTCAGCTTCAAAGCCTCCATCCCCTTGGGCCAGTTCAGGTGACACCTTAAGTGATACACAAAATCACCCAGAGGAAATTTCAGGTGATATATGTAAGACAACCTGGAAAAGAATCAAGACCCAAGGACGGGACAAATCCACCACTTCAACAACAATACCTACCTACGTGGCCGGCAGTGAGCGCAGATGTGAGCGCAGATGTGAGCAGGTGCTGAGTCATGTAAGTTAGATGCCTGTTTCTACTCCCCACAGTGGCGGAGGGGGGCCAGCAAACAAAGTAAAGCCCCCCCCCCCAGTCAAGTACCAGCAACAAGCAAAGAACGAGGAACAATCATACTATACATGTGGCTACAGACCCAAGGCTCTGTTTTGCCCCTGCTTTATAGTTTTGATGTTGAATAATAAATCTCTAAAAATAGTTTTAACTCACCAGGAGAAAGAATGGCCTAGGCGAGTGAAAATTCTAACCTTTGAAATGTAACATAGCTTTAAAAGAAACCTTAGTTACTTCCAAAGGGTTGAGACTCATTCTTGGTCCTAGAGTCCCCACAAGAAGGCAAATCCGCCCAGAGGGCAGAGTCCGCAGGAGCCCCCTCCCCCACC